CCCCTTGGGTCACTAATCTGAATTTAAGTACGCCCTTTTTAAATTGTTTTTCGATTTTATTAGGGTCTAAAAAAGTGGATTTGCAATTTTTTTGATAGCAAAGGTTTGGGGAAAAAATCTGTCTCCATGCTATTTATTTCTTTTTGTGATTCGCGTTGGGGTTAGGGATTTTGTTTGTGAATGAATTTTTCTTGAAACAAAATTTTTAAATCAGCGGTACCTGCTATCTCGTTACGTATTTCCTGCTGTCGTTGTTCACTAATTAGTTTGTTTTTTAGGATTACTCTGAGTTGATCGGATATCCTTTGTTCGCTAACTCCTGACAAATCAGGGTGTTCTACAATAACTGCTTGATGAAGTGGTTTACGATAGGCTCTATTTTTTTTGTTCTATTTGATCCTAATTGTTTGGATTTTGTAGTAGTTTTTAATAATTGATTCGTTATATTCAGTTGTCCATCTTCTTCTCTGTGTTTGCTTATTTGAATCGTGCGCTCCGCGTACTTGTATATGGTGGTATCATGCAATCGGTTTGTGTATTTTGTGTTTGTTGTAGATAAGTAGAAACTTCATCTTTAATATTGTCTAATATCTGTTGAGGTAGAAGTTTGTTTCTAATTATAGCTCGGCATTGATCTCCCAGTCTTGTTTAGATGCCTGCATGTGTGGGTATGTTTGTGTGAATTCGTGGTGTAGGTGGTTAAGGTATACTTTGCTAGTATTTAATTTTGTAGCTATGAGATACGTGCGCCAGATGGAATTCCGTTAATTTCTTGAGACCATCTCTTTCGCGTACGGTTTGTGCCTGAGGCGGATGCAGGCGTAACGGCATGTGCCCCCTGCACAACATCCTCAGACAAAGTTGAATCAGTAATTGATGACGTTGAAGACTTATAAGATAATGATAATGAAGGAGGTGATTCGAATGAATGAAATGGTGATGGAGTCATTGGGGTATCGCTTGAGTTATCGGAGTCCTCATGGATAGCTAGGGTCGTTTGACGAGTTCTTCTTCCCACCCGGAGATTCTTTGCACCCCTGGGCTCAGTCGCAGGCTGGCTATCGTCGGTCACCATGACTGGTACTGGGTTCCGCCGGGCACTTGGGGCCGTTTCGTACTGCTTCTTGTTAAGACCATGTTTCTTCTTCTGGGTTTGGGACCGTTGGTTAGAAAGGGTCAAGCCAAGTTGTTGTTGGCTTTTCGTTATAATGATTGTACCTCCTGTTACAGGGTATAGTCAAGTTCTTAATGACCGTGTACTAAGTTCATGCATTCCTCCCGTAAGCCCCCCACCACGTCAAGGTGGCCCCCGGGGGGGTTATTATTATTATTATTATTATTATTATTTTGAGTATGAATTCCTGTTCAGAAATCCCTTCGGATACCACCCATCGGTGGTTATGTCGGACATGAACGGACTAAAACCGCACGCCGTCTCGAGTACCAGTAGCCGGGGAACCAGGTGTACCCTAGGAAGGAAATCCCTGGAACCCCGACTGACCCCGTGCCATCTAACGGCTTGTAGATGACCCCCGTCGTGTGTGGGAACCCACGTGTTCCCTTTCTATATCTAAAAAGTCGCATACCTGAGATTAGAATTGGCTATTAACGAGCTCTTTAATTTTTATAGTGTATGCCTGACATGCATGATATTACGTACATAAACCAGTAGGGGAGCAATATTGGACGGCATAGTAAAAAATAAACAAAGCGTGTATTCTCTCAAGTGGATTGAATGTCGTACATGGAACTAGTTGTAAACGTTGCGAAATGAAAATCAATAAAAATTACCTTTTTTGAAGCCTCCCAAGATTTTCCAAAATGAATCTACATTAAAATGTTTTTAACTTTTTGTTGAAATGTATTAAACATTATGGATTTCAGTTTTCTAATGGATAATTATAGCAACAGGTACATTGTTTCAAAATATTTTGTTTTATGTCGCGATTTCTCCAAGTTCTGATATTTTTATTATTTTATTGAGCCTAGTTTAACGGTTTCATTGCTTTAAAATACCTATTAATTAATCATTAAGTGTTATCCATGTAGTGACGGATTAAGAATACGGAATGTCACCACCCCTATTCATCCCGTGGGTGTAAGAGCCGACTAAGGGAGCAAACTAGGCAGACAACAGCACTGCAAAGAGAAGGAAAACTTGAAACAAACCCTATACCAACCCGTCTGGCCAGCGTGATATAGTAAGCCAAAATCTCCTTTCTAAGGAGAGGCCTATGTCCAGCAGTGGACTATTACAGGCTATTGATGTGATGTGTGTGAATCATTAGGATACAATTTGTAGACATAAGAAAAGTTGTTCAATATAATAGAAGCGTAAAACGGGCCTTAAATAGTATATTGACAATTATATGTATACAGATGTAGATAGCTTGTTCTGTTTACTACAAATAAAGTTATTTACTATAAATAAAGTTGGAATGTTTGCTACAAATAAAGCTTAAGGGTAATTGACTTATAGAGAATTGATATTTTGTCCCTCATTCAGCACCTACGGCAGTTTCTAGTGATGGGATGTATATTTTTGCACAAAGTTCTTTAATAAAACTTGTCGATAAAAATCTTTAATCAATACTTTTTTTGTATATCAGTTTATGTACTAATTATTTAAAAATATGAAAATTAGTTAGCTTGGAATTCTTCCTCTCTCCTAACCTTTAGCAGTACCTGACAGGGGATTTCCGCACAGAAAAAAAAAAGGTGAATATCGAACTAAAATATATTATTTCTGAAAATGTTATTTTACGCACTGAGACAATAGTAGTAGGAAAAAATATACAATGTATACATGTTATAATTAATTAGCCGAGAGAAAATGAATGTGCCCTTTGTACCCTATACAATATAAATCAATTAAGCTTATAATGAATCTACCTCAACTCAAGCTTTGTTCAAAAAATGTTATGAAACCTAATCTATTTTCATAATTACTCTCTCCATTTCCGAGTCCAAGCTCATATTAGGAAAATGAATCTTTGGTCCTCGAATCTTTTTAGGGTTGGATTCTTGTAGGGTGATGATGTATGTGTCTGCAAACTGTAAATTACTATGTTCATTGGTAGTTCATTGTCAAAAACTAGTGTGATACTAGTGAATTAATTCGGCTGTGGGCGAGCTATACTCCGGCACAAATGGGCCGGCTCGCCCGGAGTGATACCACGGCGTCACAGAAATAATAATAATAATAAATAATATTTTCATACATTTCACACGCGGCCGCTTGATCCCAAACTAGGCAGAGCCTGTACTATGGTAACCATAATATGCATGTGTTTAGTAACCTAAATACATGCATATTATAGATAAAGTACACCCAGACACAGAACAATTGACCGTGCTCATCACACAATTATTTGTCCTGGATGGGCATCGAACCCACGATCCGTAGTGTAGCAGTCAGGGTCACTAACCACAAGATCAACAGGCCAAAAAAAAAACGGCAGTTTTTCCCTTGCTTTTCACCAAGTGAGTGGGGTTACCAGAGCCCTAATCCACACCATACCACACTCCCCTTTAAGGGCTTTAAGGGTATGTATCATGAAAACAAAAAGAAATTAAAAGGATGGTAAACTTGCTATATATATACTAGTAATATTATAAATGCGAAGTGTGTCTGTCTGTCTGTCTTTCTGTCTGTCTGTTCACTTCAAGCTTCACCACTTCACGCTTAAACTGCTGAACCGATTTAAATGAAATTTGGTACAGAGATCGTCCGAGTCCCGGTAAAAGACATATGGTAGTTTGTTTTGTGAAATCATCCTTTAAGGGGTGAAAAGGAGGGTGAAACGTTGTATGGGGAATCAATAACTGTTGAACCGATTTCTATGAAATTTGGTATGAATGATACTTTGATTCTTGAGGCAAAGATATAGGCTGCTTTTTACCGCAATAACCATCATTTACGCAGGTGGAGCCGCGAGAAAAATATATTTGTCAATAAAATCATTGTGGCAGAGATTTTTTTTCTATAGGATGGTAATGAAAAAAATAACTTAAATATAGTAACTTGGCTTTATAAGCATAACTTTAATATCTTATATTTAAAATTCTCGTGTCACAATGTTACCCATACTCCTCCGAAACGGCTTGACCGATTTTTATAAAAATTTTATATGCATATTTAGTAGGTCTGACAATCGGCCAACCTCTATTTTTCATACCCCTCATGACAAGGGGTGACCCACCCCTAAATATATTTTTTCAATATTGCCTAGAAATAATGTATATGGCAATACAACGTTTGCGGGGTCAGCTAGTACTCTTATAATAATAACTTCATAGATTTTACACATGGTCGTCTGAGCGTCAAGTCGATATGGTTTCGTTATTCGTATTTTAAAAAAGATAAATGAAAGTTTAAGAGAAATTTGGTTTTAAACCTTATTGTAGCGGAGCCTATGATGTTAAGAAGATTAAACTCGAGCGTCATGGGGACGTATTGCATTTGAAAGATTAGGTAAAAGAATAAATAAAAGCCATATAATGTTTTCACTTTCAGCGGTGGGAATAACTTCTACAGGTTTTCAAAAATGTAAGGGAAGGAAATCGAAAAAGAAAAATATTCGGGCACCTCAGATATTTTGTGGATATGTTATTTGGACGCCAAAAATGATCTCATTGAAAGGTCTGACGATTTTAAAGTGACACAAGCTGTAGCGAGATATCGAAAATTCAAACCTCGAAATCGAAACCGAAAAGTCGCCATCTTGAAATACCTGAGCGTCTATCTGTTGGGCTGTCCTAGACGATCCCCCCTATATATGGGGCTCATGTATGGTACTTAACTGAGTGTAAGCTATTCTTCCTATGTTTCCTGCCACGCGACGAGTAGCGCCACGAGTAAGCCCGAAATCCCTTCTAGGGATCTCCTACTATTCAATTAAAGTTCAACAATTTTATTAATTCACGCGCTGAATCAATAAGATCTTTGGAATAAATATTCTTTAGTACAAATTGGTTAAATTTAATTAAACAAGCAACTCATGTTCACAACTGAACACTATTTCCCAAAAGGTAAAAACATCAGCATTCATAGGTAGACTTGTAGTTAATATTTGTTCGTTACGTATACGACCTTAAGTTCTGTAGTATTCAAATAAATATGTTCTGTGTCATGAAAATAAAAGATACGACACAAATGATTTACTGTAGGAGTTTATAAAAAGTCGTAAAACATTACACAATGGCATAGTTTCGCATTAAAGTCTCCGTGTCACGGGTCAGAATTTAACCTACATTGTCTATACATAGAGATTAAGTAGATGGAAGGCAGGAAATATATAACAGAAATGACTTACTACGTAAGTATTAAAATGCAATGGATAATTCGTCTTTAAATTTACAAAACATTTATTTGAAATTGTTGACAATATCTCTTTTCAAAAATAATATAACTGTTATATAATATTAATAATTATTATAAAAATATAATAGTAGAAATAACTGTGTTAAGGTGAATTCCTTAAGTTTAGACAGATAGATAAATGGATAGATAATCGTAGCTCCTAATTGCATAACATGAACAGGATAAGAGGGCTGCTATTTGTGTATCCGGAACTGGCCAGTTACAGAACAATATAAAAAAGTAATTAAAACATTTAAAAATGGAAGTCTTTAGCTGAAGCATACAATTTGATGTAGCTATAATTTGTTTATCCTTTGTGGCGTCATTTTAAAAATTGGGTGTCTTTATCACTATGGATTTAACTTCTGAAAATTTTCGTGCCATGATTATGTGCTAACTGAAAAACTCACTTCGACTTTTAGGAATGAAGCACCATAAAAACCAACTATGTATCACTGGTTTAGTGAGTTTCGAGGCCGGTCTGTGCTCACAGACGAAATTAAAGAAGGTTGCCCTAAATCGGTTGTTGCACCGCAAAATATTGATGCTGTGCGGAAACTAATAATGCAAGATCGTCATGTTAAATATCGCGAGATAGAGACGTCTCTTGAGAATAAGTCTGACGAGTATATATAAAATATTACACGAAACTTTAGGTTACAGCAGGATTAATAGATTACAAAAAATACATTAGTACGAGTACTATGGACGTATCGCAGTGTGCGATCTCAAATTTACAATCGATTTACAATTTTGCTATCACTAATACAGTGTATACTGTGAAGTAGCGTATTCTTTTTATGTGTATGTTTTATAAAAGACATCTCCCGTACTAGGAATATATCCTGTGTAGCGGGGAACTTTACAAACATACATGAAACGGACACATAGAACACCCATACTCAGGACAACAATTTGTGGATCACACAAAGTGTCGTCCCAGGTGGGGATCGAACCCACAACACTCAGCGCAGTAGTAAGCGTACCGCTTACTACCGCCAACCGTGCAGGCATTTTGGTCAATCGAAATTCTGTGGCGAGTGCTATGTTTTCAGCTGGAATTCCTATAGGAATAAAATTATAGCATACAGCTATTTTATTCTATTCAAAGTTGAAAGTACTCCCATGTATCCTATGATATATGTCAAACATATACACAACTAAAATTTAATATTTTTTTGCATTCCCAATTCTTTTCAAGTTATTCAGTTAGGCATAAAGTTTCTACACGTTAAACTTACAAAAAAATCAAATTGTACGGTCAAAAGTTTATTGTAATGTACTGGATTATATAATTATGTAAAGCTGTACCCTTTTAAATGGTAATAACTTTAAATCCCTTATACCTATATCTCAGTAAGGTGGTTTGCATTACCAGGATTATCACATACGTGTTGCCGATTCCAGTTACCACTTTCTGAAAGGTTCATAGCACCAAGGTTACCTGATTGATTTTCGGTCGTTTTGCAAGTCAATTAAGAGTACGGCAGACGGATTAAGAATACGGAATTGCATCACCCCTATTCGCCCCGTAGGTGTCGTTAAAGCCGACTAAGGGGGCAAACTCCGCATGACAACAGCACTGTAAAGAGAAGGAAAACTTGAAACAAACCCTATACCAACCCGTTTGGCCAGCGTGGTATAGTAGGCCAAAACCTCCTTTCTAAGGAGAGCTTTCTACGCGGTAGGAAAAGATTTATTTCCGATATCCTTCCTTATTGCATCAAAGCTATACAGCTAGAAATACACCTGTATACGCTTGTTATTTAGATCTCTCAAAAGCTTTTGACCTTGTTAATTATGACAGGCTGTGGCAGAAGCTACAATGTGATACGAATCTACCACGTGAGATTGTATCTCTATTTAAATATTGGTACAGTCAGCAGAAAAATAGGGTAAGATGGTCGGATGTGCGGTCGGACATGTACAGGTTGGAGTGTGGCGTGAGGCAAGGTGGTATATCCTCGCCTCGTCTCTTTAATCTGTATATGAATGGGCTGATCGGTGAGCTTAGTAGCACAAACATAGGTTGTTCTATTGACGGTGTGTGCATAAATAATATAAGCTACGCTGATGACATGGTGCTGCTGAGCCCATCGATTGGTGCACTACGTAGGTTGATAGGTATCTGTGAGACATATGCGACGAGTCATGGTCTCAAGTATAATGCCAAAAAGAGCGAGTTTATGATCTTTAAAGCTGGTACCAAATGCTACTCAATTGTACCTCCAGTCACTCTTTGCGGAACTCCTTTAAAGAGAGTTTATAAGTTTAAGTACCTTGGGCATTGGGTCGCCGATGACTTATCAGATGACCTTGATATTGAGAGGGAGCGTAGGGCGCTGTCTGTCCGGTGTAATATGTTGGCTCACAGGTTCGCACGTTGTACCACACCAGTAAAAGTTACTCTTTTCAAAGCATATTGTCAGTCCTTCTACACGTGCAGCCTGTGGACTAACTTTACGCAGCGGGCGTACAGCGCACTACGCGTCCAGTACAACAATGCTTTCAGGATGCTATTGAATCTGTCGAGGTTTTGCAGTGCATCAAACATGTTCGCGGAGGCACGTTGCGATGACTTTTATGCAATCATAAGGAAGCGGAGCGCGTCAATGTCCAATCGACTGCTAAGCAGCACCGATGGCATCCTGAGAGTATTGTCCGAGAGGTGGGATCTTCCAATCCTACAAAGGTGGATGCGTCTGCATTCTAGCGCATCCCCACGATTTATTTTTTAATTTGTTTTGTGTTAATGTAGAACTAACATAGTTGTAAGATTACTGTTACTAACATATCTATGGACTAATGTCTGAAAATAAATAAATTTATTATTATTAAAGCTTATAGTGGACGGAGTGGGAGTAGCGTATTCGGAAGAAAAATCTCGATTCCTATTTACAGTCGCCATCTTGGTCGTCGTTCATCACCAAGATAAATTACCCACAATCCTGCTGGGAGACTCTACGAGGGCTATTAGTATTTACTACCCGTACACTTATTTAACGCAGAATATAGTACTTAGTAGTTTTTTAATTGTTACGAACCCAATACACTGTTCTCACGCCACACACAAAGCCCGTATGGGTTTTTAACTGCATGAAAAGTGACCTTGGTTTAATGACATAACATTCCATACTATATATAAATACTGGGGTCTATCACGTTATAGGATTGACTAAAAATAAGTGTATTGTTACAGACGAACCAGGCTTCAGTGCGCCAATAGCAAACGTGACAGCACCGCTGGGTCGTGAAGCGATCCTCGCGTGCACCGTGCACAACCTCTCGACCTACAAGGTTTGTTACAAGAACAGTTTTCGCGACAGAGCTATGTCTGAGGTGGCGCCATTGGCATGAAATACATGTAGGATTTTTGTTAAAATGTTTGTGTTGGCTTATTTTTGAAATGAATATATAAAAAGGAACGTGCAACTACGAGTATTCCTCGCTTATTGCTACGGTTTTTTGTTTTAATATAAGATAGATATATAGTAGGCCAAAACCTCCTTTCTAAGGAGAGGCTTATGTCCAGCAGTGGACTACTAAAGGCTGTTGATGATGATGAAGATAGATATTTTCGATACAAAGCTTACTACTTTCTTAGCTATTTATTTGTAGTCTTTATTTGAGATATAAAGTAAATAAGTCTTAAAATAACTTCTAAGAAAGATACTTGACTGCAATGAATCACTTGATGAAAACTCAGCATCGAAGTTTACGGATGATTCATATTTTACATCTTGTAGAACCTAGTATTCAAACTGCTCGACTAAACTATACACAAAATTACAAAACTTAAATACCATTGAAATAGGTACTTATCCATTCAAAAGTTTAGTGTTGTTTATACTCGTAGATTAAATATGTTACGATGTTGATCTGTTTTTACATCACAGATTTAGAACTCGTCAACGGAGCCGCTACAAAGAAAACACTTCTTTATTTCTATATTATTATATGTATATCCTTTATTAAAGCGCTTTAGTTTCTTGAGTGTTTCATTTGTCTGGATTGAGAAACTTTATCGTTTGTGAACAACAACGTTTAATAGACAATGTATAAACTTTGACGCATACAAAAGCTTTTGAAAATGAGGAAAGTTGATATTGGATTTAATCGTTTTAGAATAGCAATTCAATTTGGACGTTTAGTCTCGGGTAAGAATAGGCTATGCTAACCTCACTTCGCTTCAGGAGCAATAAAGACGGAAAATAATCGTCTATCAGAGAGATTCATAAAATATCTATTAGACGGTAGTACAAATCTGTTTGGATAAAATTTTGCTACCGATTATCAAATTTTTCAACCTTAGTCGAGTGTGTTTTATATTTGACTAGCTGACCCGCGCAACTTCGTCTGCGTCTCTCAATAGTAATAAATTTTCTCCGTTTTTGAAACATTTCTTCATTGGTGCTCCGCTCCTATTAGGTCTTAGCGTGATGATATATAGCTATAGCCTTCCTCGATAAATGGGCTATCTAACACTGAAAGATTTTTTTCAAATCGGACCCGTAGTTCCTGAGATTAGCGCGTTCAAACAAACAAACAAACAATCAAACAAACAAACTCTTCAGCTTTATAATATTAGTATAGATTGTATTATATCTAAGCTTTCTACGTCATGATAACATGAGAGTACAAATCTCATTTTTCTTATTTACTACTATGAGACGATCGGCTCGATCAATGTGTTGTTCACAATTGATCAATGACCGTTTCATGTGTGTTTATAAAGTCCCCCATGACACAGGATATATCTCTCATGAGGGCGTTGCCTTTGAAAAAAAAACGTGATGTAACAATTTATACTCGCCACATTTTAACAAGCCTTAACGACCAGTAGGAGCTAAAGACATCTCAATTGCAATGTAGTAACAATGTTTTTAGCCCGTAGACAGGAACTGTAAAATTATGGGTTCTTAGAAAGGAGTATTGTAGACGGAACCATACTTTTCCATTTTAAGCATTTCAAATACAGTCAGGTGCTATAAAATAGGGCTATTAAATTTAGACATCAAAATCCAGAATAATTTTTTAAAATTGCTTCATTATAACAATTTTACGAACTTGACCTGACTTCTAAATATGCCGTACAATAAAGGGGCGAGTAACCAATATTGAACCGGCGCCTTAACAACGCCTAGTTTAACGCCTGTTGCTAGTGTAAAAAAATAGTGCCATATTGATTGAAATACAAAAGTGGTCCAATTTAAGAGCCGGTTCAATATTGGTCACTCTCCCCTAAGTACATGTGAGATAAATAGTGTGATACTAGTTTGTTAGAGGGGGCAGACGAGCAGACGGGTCACCCGATGGAAAGTGACCATCGCCGCCCATGAACGTCTGCAACTCAGGAGTCACAAACGCGTAGATAATAATAATAGTTGGTTGGTGTTCAGTAGTTTTACTTTTCAGTTTTCAAACTCTGTAATTTAATTATTCATATCTACCATATAATTGTCATTGAGGTTTGATAAATTACAGTTGAAGCTGAAAGACTTGTCTGCTCTAAGTTTTCATTAAAGTCTTCAGACTTATGAGGTTTTAAAAATAATAAAAATAACTTCACAGATCTCACACGCCGTCTGATCCCAAACTAGACAGAGCCTGTATTATGGTGATCAGACTGTTAATAAAAATACTTAAATATTTTTATAAACATTCATATTAAATTACACCCAGACAAAGAACAAATGATCGTGTTCATCACACCATATTTGTCCTGGGTGGGAATCGAACCCACGACCACCGGCTAAGCAGTCAGGGTTATTAACTACTAAACCAACAGGCCAATCATAATAAAGTTTTTGTAACCCAATAGGTCGCCTGGCTGAGAGTGGACACGCAGACTATTCTCACGATCCACACGCACGTCATTTCACGAAGTCGAAGAGTGGGAGTCACCCACAGCGATCATCGAACCTGGTTCCTGCACATCAGAGAGCTCCGAGAGACAGACAGAGGGTGGTACATGTGTCAGATTAACACTGACCCCATGAAGAGTCAGCTCGGATACTTGGATATCGTTGGTAAGTTACTATTATTATACAGCTACATTGTTATTCATATAAATGACTAAGTGACCCACTCAACTTCGTCTGGTTCTCTTAAAAGGAATACATTTTCCCCGTTTTCGCAACATTTTTCATTGATACTCGACTCCTTTTAGTCGTAGCGTGATGTTATATAGCCTATGTCCAACCTTGATAACAGGGCTATCCAAAACTAAAATAACTTTTAATTCGAACCAGTAGTTTCTGAGATTACATATAAACTCACAAACTTTACCTCTTTATAATATTAGTATAGATTTTTGTTGTATATTAGTCAATATGACGTTGTTCAATCTGCATGGAGGTTATCGTTATTAAACTTATAATGGACTAGCTGACCCGCGCAACTTCGTCTGCGTCTCTCAATAGTAATAAATTTTCTCCGTTTTTTAAACATTATTCATTGGTGCTCCGCTCCTATTGGTCTTAGCGTGATGATATATAGCCTATAACCTTCCTCGATAAATGGGCTATCTAACACTGAAAGATTTTTTTAAATCGGGCCAGTAGTTCCTGAGATTAGCGCGTTCAAACAAACAAACAAACTCTTCAGCTTTATAATATTAGTATAGATGTATAGTCTTTAATTATCCCACTATTGCCCGCCATATTTAGTCGGACCAAAAGCGTGGAACCGCAGATTTTATACGTCGTAATAATATTTGCCAACTCTTTTTTTATATTTTATATTAAACTTATTGTATATGTCCCTATTATTATTAAAATAAATAGGAGTTTTAGAGATGGCAATGAGTATTAAAAACTCATTTTACTTTTTTACTAAGTATCTTTTACGATTGTAGTTAAATATAATTTGTCACAAATAATATCATCGGCATTTTGCGTTCTATGAAAAAATATTGTTGGGGAAATGTGGTATTTTTAAGGAAAACTTCAGAAGTACTTAAAAGCTGTGTATTGAGCGATGGTCGAACAGATTGTGTCGATTAACCGACAGTAGAAAAAGTTAACAAAAAAGGTCCTTATAACTACTAACGGTTACTTTTATGTACTTGTGTGTTGCCATAAAATTCAAGCAGGCGCTGTGCTCGAACAAATATAATCTTTAAAATGCAAAGCAAATTTTGAGGGATTTATTTATTATTGCTTAATTTAGAAGTTGATATTTTAAAATAGTTTTCTCTTTGAATAAAAATTAAATCCGGATGATACAAAGTTTATGATTAAAACACATAATATATTTATGTTATATAAACTGCCGTAGTATATACAATACGAATCTGTAATATTTATAAACGTCAGATATAAGAAGATTATCACGACTTAATAACCCTCAGCTACATTCACAAGACGCCACTGTAATAATATATATTTTTTTGATATCAACATGGTCTTTTATAGCGATATCACTTAAACCTCGCTAGGAAGACACAACATATATATGCTTTAATAACAGACGACAAATATATTATATTTGAAATATATTTTTAAGGAATATTTCATGTCTACGTAAGTCTCTCTCCTCTCTCAGTCTCATCTCTGAAACTTAATATGTTACTGAAGGTTACTAAACCTTTGTTTGTTACTTGTTTATTGATAAAACTCTGTTATGAACGTTAGACATTGGCAGCTAGGGTATAATTATTTGGGGAGGAACTGAAATCACACCGTCCAGGTACTTCACAGAGTAGGCCGCCTGAGACTAGCCTCCAGAGTGGTTTTTATTGGAAACAAAATATTCTAAGAAGGGCTTTTCATATCTGCTTTATTTAATAGTAGTAGTATGAAAGTACAAAATTTTTGCTTAAATCTCGCTGTAAGTAAATAACTCTGGTAATTTAATTTTGTTCAAAATCAGTACTACGAATGAGTGCTGTATTGAGCTATCCATTTCCAGTTTTCATAGCTTTTACCAAAAAATGTTCACCTTAAAACTAAATAACCTGAAAGATCAGTCAGTTAACGGTGATAAACAAATATATTGGTAAAAGCCGATTCGTGTAAAGAACCTAGGATTTAAGGTTAAAGAAAATCTAGGTTGGTTCTTGACACGGTTTGATTCATATTGGTAACATAAAAATAAAAACTCCTGACTTAATTTTTATGCTACATGTTGCTACAAGTTGATATAAAATTTTCGTACGCTAACTCTTATTACAAAAAAAAGGTTCCATACATTTTTTTTTTGTATTTGCTTTTTGTAAACAACTTTCCAAAGTTTTCTTTAAAGATCTCGTGTTACCAATTCGATGATCACCTTTTCTATTATATCGTTCAAAATGTCATCATTTACATATTTTTCTAAGTTAAAAGAACCACTGACTATAACCACACAGTTATTGCGAAAATATCGACGTAATTCAAAATCCTTTCAGATTAAACTAAATTTAAAGAGGACAAAGATACGGTCGGAATTGATTTGAAAGATAACACACCAGTTCATCACAAATTCATTACCATTCAGTATAAAATCAATAATTTTTAATACTGTTGGTATTCTCGAAAACCAATGATTTGTTTGATTAGAACATGTTTTATCACAAAAAAAATTTTTTAAAAATCTCCAAACGAAAATAAATCATAAAATATAACAAAGTTAAAAATACACAGTTTCAACTGACAAATCTAAACTGATAAAAGTATGCTGTCGGCATATTAATTCGGTCTTAGCGAGATATATTATGAGATCACCTACTTTTAATTTATCCATTAGTGCCGCCAGATATTCTGGACCGTGGAACAAGTACAGATCAGACGGTGCGAGAAGGTGCTCCGATAAGTTTGACATGCGCAGCTACTGGTTCACCGCAGCCACAAATCACCTGGCGAAGAGAGCATCCCAAAGGCACCAAGGCTATTACCATCGCTGATGGAATACAAGGTTATTTGATGTTTTAATAAAATATTGTTGATGTTTCTGTTGCAACTTGTTTGCAAAATATTATTTCGGATATCTAGCACACAACGCCATCTAGTTTCAAACTAAACAGCTGGCACTGTGTTTTTTATACCATTATATTATTATATACAATATGTATTTATACATATGTATTTTTTATATACAATAAAACAAACTGATCAGGTGAAAGAAATATTATTGCATTTCGTAGATATTGTTATATTTAAGTTTCCAAGTTACGTCTGATATTATTTATTAATGTTTCAATCTTAAGATCTTTAACTCAAAAGAAAGACGGTTCTAGTTTCGGATGTATAAATAGGTTTTTTTTTGCGTTTATGTTACGTTATATATTTTCCACTAGTGAACCCATTCTGTAGGTATATTTCCTTAATTAAGTAAGTTCTACTCAAAAATCACAACTCTGAGGGTAGAAATTTAAGTAATGAGAATATAGCTTATAATAATTTCTCATGTTTTAGACGCTTTGAAGTTGTTGACACTATTTGAAACGTGAATGATAAAATATCTTCTTAGGACACATGTATATGTTTACTCTTCAAAAACTCAAAAAGATCTGCACCGATTGAGGTAAAATTTTGACTCGGTGTACAACCCGCTGCAAAGATTGTTTTATCTATGTTTTGTGACAGTTTTGTTACTCATTTTTCAACAACCACAATGTGCCAGAGCGAAGCGTGGCAGGGTACTGCTATTGCCCATCTAATCTAAGAGGTACCGTTTGCCGTTTCATACTTCTCACTCAATTTCAATAACCTTTTCCGTAAAACCATAGAGTCATGTAGCTATTTTTATTTTGTCGCAAGATATACAATTCTTAATGACTACATTTATATCTTTGAAACAAAGCAACATAGGCAATTTATACACAATAGATTTTTTTTTCAAACTTAATTTAAGTCACGTAGTTATGTCCTTTACAGTAGTGTTGCGGCTCTTCAAATTCACTTAAACACTATTAATCATTAAAATGTATCAAAAATCAAATCTATTAATAACGATTAATTTTCAGTCCAGGCGTCTTAAAGTGTTTGATAATAGTTAAAATTCATCTGACATCCAAATTTCAACGAAAACGCATAATTAAAATTAAAAGTATGTAAGTTAATGTAATTTTAAATAAATCTTTGTAGACAAAATCGCTCGTATTCAAGTCTAGTGTATACTAAGATTTACTAGTAAAACCTATGATCTGTCATGACACGGACTTTTATAGTAACATAAATCTGTAAAACTGTAATCGATTAGTACATACTAAGAAATGATATCGAAATCTCTTAAGAATCAGATATTTTAGTAATCGATTTCTTTTGACCCCATCGCTATACTTCAATCTGTCAGAACTGTCAAACGGTACTCTTAGATTAGATAATATAATAATAATAATATTATACCACATTCACACAACGCCATCTAGTCCCAAACTAAGCAGAGCTTGTACTATGGGTACTAGACAACTGACATAAATACATTTCGACGTCCCTCGCGAATAATCTGGTAATGACCTATTACGGGGTTTTTCATGTTATGAGTTTTTCGGCATCTAGAAGTTAAAATACACCATGTAATTATTTTTCAGAATTTTTTATCTTTTTTTACGAAGATATGAAAAACTACGCGTATATTCCATAAAAAAAATATTAAAATGTATTTTAAACAAATAATATGGTTTTAGATCTTTACGAAAAAAAAATATCAATATGATTTGACAGTAAAATTACTTTACGGTATTATTCGGGTAAATAGTTTTCTACCTTATTTATGTAACATTTTATTGTTATGACTATTACTGTTTATTCGAATAGTTTACTTAAGTATTATTTACATTAAAAGTTCATGCACACAAATGTTTGACTCGAATCTCGAATCGAACCCGCGACTTTTAGAATTGCAGTCCGTTACACAAACCACTACGCCATCCGGTCATCGTAGATGGATTATAGTATTAAATAATTTAAATACTGATAAAGTAATTACGTTAACTAAGCGAATATAACACTCTTCGTAAAGCAATAACCGTTTTGCCAAGTGAGTTATATCGAAATGCTGACATTATTTTATGGTTTCTCAATCTAAATCCTCTTGTAAATGAATTAGTCTCTCAACTCCTTTGAGGGTCTCTTCAAGGGCTTGACAGAAGGAACTTCATAGATACTCTTGCTTATAGTTCACTGTGAGTACTTAGACGCTGAATCAAGTTTAAGTTTATTAAGTTGAACTGTTCCATAGTTATAGCTTGCATAAGCTCATAAGAACTTGTGAGTACAGCTGCGTTCATCGTTACTGATGGTGTTCATACATAATAATCCTCGTGTTTTATAAGTCAACATCTATTGAATAATTTGTTAAATTGTGGTAAGATTTCGATGCCAATAAACGCTAGTTTAAGTTGGGCTTAAATGTAGGCGTTGCAATTTTTTTTAAGTTAAGAAAATCTAATATTAAATAAACAGTTAATTTGTATTAATACTTAATACTATCACATTTATTTATCAAACCTCCTTTCTAAGGAGAGGCCTATGTCCAGAAGTGGACTGTTATAGGCTGTTGATGATGATGATTATGATGATCACACATTATACTCGTATACCTTTTAATAATTGATATCGGCCTCTGTAACAATTTATATAATTTCTAATTTTATGTTCATTGGTACAAAATTTTCGTGTAACACTTTAAAAAATATATTACATTTGATACAATATTATTAATAAAACAATATTCTTGTATAATCTTTAAATAGTGATCTAATAATATTTAGAGTTAAGCTCGATGCTTTTTAAGTAAACTGCGACTGCTGTGCTGAGGTTCGATTCCCGAGTCGGACCCTATGTTTGTATGATCCGCAAATATTTTTTTCGGAATTTGGGCGTTTTCTATGTATAACATGTATGTACTTCAAAAAATAATAATTACATAAGTATTCTATCAGTAAATCTAGCTTTCATAGTACAAGCTTAGTTTAAAACTAGATGGCGTTGTGTATTAGATGTACGAAAATATTATTATGATATTTTTCGTAGGCCTAATACAATCTATAAAGATTATTTATACGGTATCCGTGGTGGATATTCAGCACTCACGAATATGGCTAGTAAGGCCGATCCAAGAGCGGCAACCTCGATCACAGTGTGCTTTACATATTAAATAGAAATCGCCTTTGTCGGCAAACATTAGTGCTAACTAAACACAATGTAACGAGTGCCTAAGCGTTAGTGAGGCAATTCAGCTCCTTGTTACAACTCTCTGCCATACTCTCTGCTTCCATTCCAATCTAATGTTTTTTAAGACAATCTCCGCACTTGGAAAATAAATATACTGTGTCCCGGGGGACTTTACAAATATTCATGAAAGAGGCATCAAAAACAACCACACTCAGATCAACAATTTGTGAGTCACACAAAGTGTTGTCCCATATGGTGATCGAACCCAGACTACTCAGAGTACTTAGTATAAGAAACGGCGTGTTACATGCTGTTATTTCAGCGAACTTGTAGTCTACTGAAAATTACGGCTAGTAAACTTATAAGAAACTTTCTATGTAGAGAGACCTTGAACACGCAGAAACCAACCAAAATTGATGATCGTTTTAAACCCTAAACTTTAAAGGACTCTCCCTATATTTATTCAGACGTGGCCTACATTACAGGGCCGTGATTCTAGTAAAATTGTAGGACACAGTTTTAATGATAGATCGAAAACTTAAATTAACGAGGTTTTCTTAGAATTTGGCCTTACTAATTGTACAAAATATATATACAAAGTCACAGGTCACGCAGGGTCGTACTATTTTTACAATTGATGGATTTATAAATGTTATAACGAGATATTCTATTTGTAGATTTAGCGGGAACGACTGTTTAGTTTTACTATGTATGTAACTAATACTAAATTGTTCAGCGAAGCCAGTAAAATATAATTATTACTTATTGATGCTTACATGTGTCAAATTATAGAAGGAAGAATTGATTTCCATGATAAATATAGCGCTAGGGAAAACTGATTTCACAGGGGTAGTCAACTACCCGCCGTAGATGGTCCGAGGTACGTCGGGGCACCAGGGATTTCCTTTCTAGGGTACACCTGGTTCCCCTTTCTAGGGTACACCTGGTTCCCCGACTACTGGTACCTTAGATGGCGTGCAGTTTTAGTCGGTTCGAGTCCGACATTGCCACCGGTAAGTGGTATCCGAGGGGATTTGCGCACAGAAAAAAAAATCGAAAACTGATTGAATAATAGAAGGAATTAAAAATAAAGTGCAGTATTGACATAGCTTTTACTCAACTGGTTAGTATTTTTTGTTTTGTTTAATAGGACATTGAACAGTTACACGTTAGGTAGTAGCCAATTCTAAATTAGAGTAAATAATCTATTAAGTGAACGTGCAACCCACACCAATATCCACGAACTAAAATTTAAAGTAATGAAGTGTAAATCGTGCATATTTTACACTTTTATATAGATTTTTTTTTATATAGATGGAACTTAAGCATAATGAGAAAATTTAAAGATTTGAGTTGTTGCAATTTTGAATTTTGTGTCTCATATATATATAGTTTGTAATCATTTAAATATTTAACAAAGTATTTATGTTATAGTAACATCGTATGAAGGACCTGTACTTAACATAAGTCGGGTGACAAGACAACATGCAGGCGCATACCTATGTATCGCCTCCAATGGTGTTCCACCTACTCCAAGCAAGAGAATCATGCTCACCGTACAGTGTAAGTAAAAGTAAAATTATATAATACCGATATATGTATTTCTTATTTCGTGTTTCTAACTTTAAAAATGACGAATTGCCGTTCCACTGCTCTTTCCTTATCATACACGCTCTTCCCACCCTCTCAGGAAAGAAATTTTCAAAAATCTTTATGTATATATATGAGAATATCAAAGAAAAGGCCAACTAGGACAGCTTAAAAGAGCAAGCAGTTAACAGACGAGTGATAAAGAAGAATGGAACAACAAAACTCAATGTGACGACTTCAAATCAATTTAAGAAAAGATGTCTGTCTTCAACTCACCTTGTGGAGAGCGGCAATGAAGGAACAAAACAAATTTATCACTAAAATTATAAATGTGAAAGGGAATATTTTTGCATAATAATTTGTTATGCTTTTATACCTTGAAATCGAACTCGAACAGTATGAAAATTTTGCAACCTTTTATCAACGCTACAGACAGGACAAAGGATATTTCTTCCAGACAAAAGTATTGGTCCTCATTGGTCCTGTATTGATCAAAGAATTATACATTCATGAGAGCGAAGCCACGGGAAAAAACTAGTCAATTCTATATTATTCTAAGTGTCATCTCGTCTCATCAACAGCCTTTAACAGTCCAGTGCTGGACATAGGCCTCTCCTTAGAAAGGAGGTTTTGGCCTACTATACCGAGCTGGATAGACGAGTTGGTATAGGTTGTTTCAAGTTTTCCTTTTCTTTGCAGTGCGGTTGTCCTGAATAGTTTGTTCCCTTAGTCGGCTGGCACTCCATATTCTTCATAATCCGTCATCACACGGATAATTCATCACCATCATCATCAACAGCCTTTAATAGTCCACTGCTGGACATAGGCCTCCCCTTAGAAAGGAGGTTTACGGATAATTCATATTAAGTTATAATTTTTTTACGCAGTTCCACCGGTGATAACAATAAGAAACCAGTTGGTAGGCGCAGCGCTTGGCAGTGAATTGGTTCTGGAGTGTGAGACTGAGGCGTACCCTAAGCCAGTTAGCTACTGGAGTCGAGATAATGGTGATATAGTTCCTGTCGGTAAGTCGTAATTAGTAATTGTTGACAATACTTTAAGTCTTCATTTTTTAAGGTAACGGTGTTTCATAAAAGAGGGTCGAGGACCCTCCATACAGTGCACAAATAGGAATAGGAAAAGAAGAAGAAACAAACATAACAAAATATTTTTTCTTAAAATTTGAATCGGAATACGTGTGTGTGTATATAGAATGTCTTTAAATATTATCTTAAAATACCAATAGTAGTATTTATGAAAATATGTAATAAGGTTTAGACGTCCCGGCCGACGTTAGCTCAATTTAGATACCTTCGACCTTAACGTACTTGAGCTGTTATTACACTGCATAAGCAATAACCTTTTTCCTCAATTGCTTTAGCTTTTTACCTACCTTCTTTTTATTTAAAATACAACCAATTTTTTCCTATTTCAAATCCGAAGAGCCGCGTTGACATCAATATAGGTTACCCTATTACTACCTCTTCGTGTACATCGGCGTGATGTTTGCGAACATGTATGTATTTATTGAATAATGTATTTACATCATACACGTCGTTTAATGCAATTAAAATTAATATCATAACTATTCTATGTACAATAAAATATACATTATAGTGAATAGTTATGTTTTTTTTCAAATTCAGTGAGCGAATTAAATTGATCAATAAAATAATGCTTCAAAATCGTTGATATCTGTTGACTTAATAGCCTTTTTTTCAAAAGAATCCAGGAAAATCTATAAGGTTACATAAGTACCAACTTATATGAAAGAACACAGAAAAATACAAACATTACTTGTAATATTTACCCAGTAAATGTTCCATAAAAACCTTATTGTTCTAATGTTTTATTTTATTCCTTATTTTACGAAACCTTTTTTTCGAATAAAAAGCTCCTTCCTATCTTAACACAGCATGGATTTATAAAAGCCTTTAAAACGTCTAGCTAATGTATCCTGCCCGCATTGGATTTACCGAATATTCGACCGCTTACCTCTGCGTTCTAAATTAGTTACGTTACGTTTAGCACCCTCTAAAACCGAATACGTTTTGTCCACATTGTGTCTACGTAGTTACTAGTATCATAAGAACCAACTGTAACATTTCGTTGCGAATCTTCCATTTATTATACTCATTTATATCTATACAAATTAATTAAATTGCAGTGTCTGTTTGTAATATCATAATAATAGATTTTTCTTGATGCTGACACGGTTATTTAATGTTTAATGTATTTTGTAAAGTACCAGACACAGGATTTATTCCTAGTACGGAAGTAGTCTTTTTTTAAAGAAGAGTTAAAAGAAGAGGATTTGCACGATACCTATGCCTAAAAACCAGTTTAAATATTTTTTGTCTGCCTGTTTGTTCCGGGTAATCTTCAAAACGGCTTGATTGATTTTGATTATATTTTACTACCAGGTAGCTGTCTATATAAGGAGTAACTTAGCCTATTTTTTCTCTTCGAATCGAACCCACTAAGGCTTTTCAAATTTCATACGAACGAAGATGCGGGCACCAGCTAGATGTTTAATTATAATTAACATGTTCTTTGTTTACTTATGTATTTTTGTTAGTTTAATGTTTTATGATTTTTTATTTGGTACTTTTAATCTTGTGGTATTCGGTATTTAAGTAGAATTTTGTCATTCTCGAAGTGAGCGAGTACTATGTAAGTGTGGCGATCGTTTACGCATAGATTTGAGTTTTTTATTCATTTCTGTGACATAAAGACAAACGTAGAACATAATTTCCATAAATCATTTCTGTAACTATTTATAGCAACCCCCTACTATGCAACTTCTAATGGTCACCTATAACCCGAGAGTTACGAGTGTATCGTCGGTTTTTGTTGTTTATATGTTATAAGAGTAACTATTTCTCTATCTATATAAGTTTTCGGATACTAAGTCTCTTTGTGCCAGTGACAAGCAGAGCAGTAACCTACCTACATACCGACGTATACAGTCCACTTAGTATAGAAGTCCACAATAATTTGTAAAAGCAGTATTAAAAAGTTTATCATACTGTTTACACGTCTCGTCATTTATGAAATTCCCTACAACAAAAAGTGAACCTTATTGCAAAGTCCAATGGTTTTTTTTCAGATAAGATAATACTTTCATGGAAACTTCATACAGTTAGTGCAAAATATAATAAAACAAAAAAAAATAGAAAATCTTTATCATTATCCAATTAATCTACTGCAAAAACCATAAGTTATAATGAATAGAAATTTAAGTATATTATCTTAAGTATATTAACGGGTCTGTTTGTCTAGTGGTTAGTGGCCCTGACTGTTAAGCCGGTGGTCGTGGATTTGATTCCCACCCAGGATAAATACTGTGTGATGAGCGCGGTCATTTGTTCTGTGTATGGGTGTAATTTCTTTATAATATATAAGTATGTTTATCAGCAGTCTGGTTACTATAGCACAGACTCTGCCTAGTTTGGGATCAGACAGCCGTGTGTGAGATGTGTGAGGTTATTATTTATTATAAATAGGACTGTTAAAAGAATATAATTAACAAGACGATATCTGTTTCAAATTTTATCTCGTATTCGGAACAAGGCTTAAATAACTGCTGCCGCACGCTACGATCTCCACACCGAAGTTTAGCTCTCTTAGTCCGTAATTAAAGGTATTTTGAACTTCGTCGGAGCTATATCGACCTTTCGCCGTTTGCCTACTTTGGTCTTTACCGATAACAAACACGCTTAATATTTTACCTTTCTGAGATTTAGAAACTTAAAACTTTCCTTCTCTGAAGCGTTATATAAAGTTTATTAATTGCTGAGGCGTATAAGATTTGTGTCAAGGCTTTCAGTTCTCGTTATCTATACTAATCTATACTAATATTATAAAGCTGAAGAGTTTGTTTGTTTGTTTGTTTGTTTGTTTGTTTGAACGCGCTAATCTCAGGAACTACTGGTTCGATTTGAAAAATTCTTTTAGTGTTAGATAGCCCATTTATCGAGGAAGGCTATAGGCTATATATCATCACGCTAAGACTAATAGGAGCGGAGCACCAATGAAGAATGTTTCAAAAACGGAGAAAAATTATTACTATTGAGACGCAGACGAAGTTGCGCGGGTCAGCTAGTAAAATATATTAGTGCTTAGTCACTTGTTATCAATTTTAAGCTCGTTTGTTGATGAGTGACATTTGAAGCCTACAAGGCGTTTCGAAGCATCCCGTATTGTAATCAAACAAAAAAGAACTGTAAGTAAATATATTAGAGAGTTGAGATCAAGGATGCAAACAGAAAAAAAGGTTTATTTAGTGTAAATATGTAAAGATAAGTTACAAATACATTGAGAATTATGTGCTGAGCTACAATGATTATATAGACTGCATAATTTGTTTTAAAGGATTTTTTATTCGGTACACTGTGTACGGCTTCGGTTCTATTTTAGAATCGTCCATAGGGTGTGACCCGCGACTCAAATAAAATCTAACCCCGTTAAATTGCAACAATAATTTGTATAAAAAATTTCTTGTATACAAATTTCTTAAATCTGATTTCCTAAACACTTTTTTGTCTAAATAATGTGTGTTTTACTTTTCTTTTATTCCTTTTTTTTTGTATATGACAAGGTAGACGGGTCTGTTGAGATGGTGGTTTCTGAGTCTGATTGTGTCGCCGGAGGTCGTTTTCCCCCCTGGATTGTGTCTGGGTGTGATTTATCTACTTTAAGTATGAATTTAAAAATATATAAGTATGTTTGTCAACAGTCTGGTTACGATAGTACAGGCTCTGCTCTTCACTTTTACCTTTATTTACTCTACAAATGTGCCTAAATAACGTAAGTAATATGTACTTAGTAGCTTGGTTGTTTAAAAAACCTGGATCTCTTTCTACATTTTATAACAATAATACAAGATGAAAAGCTTATTAAATTTAATATTTAAATTGAATGGAAAATTTAATTAAACTCGCTTCACAAGTAGACACAAGATTGTTGTACTGTGCACGTCAAAGTGCTTGAATATATCTCATTCGCTTTAGAGCTACAGAGAATTCGAAGTGCACGAATCATTTGGGACTGTAGATGCTGTTAGGAATTCATCCAATGTTCATGTAACGAATACCTTTATTATTCAAAGCGCAACAAAGAGAGCTATTCGCACAATTAATAATCTCAGTTATAGGCAGTCACTGAAGGCAGTTTAAAGGAACTGGTATCATGACATTCGCATTTTAATATTATATATAAAAACAATTTGTGTGCGTAAAGAAAAATATTGATTTATTCACAAAGTTTAGTGACATTTATAAAAGAAACACTAGAAATAAAGATAATCTCGTGTTATCAACCACTAGACTATAAAAAGTAAGCAAGTCTTTTCGATGTCAGGGTGTACGATTCGATAATGAGATTGCAAGCCAATTCCATAATGTAAAAAAAACTAAAACTATGTGAAAAGGATTACTACACGATTACAGATTATTTAGATGACAAATTTGATTGGGATTGATGCTGCTCACTCTCACATTTGCGTTCCTATCATTGCTGTTATGTTTGAGAGTGGTGGATATTTAATTATTTATTTTTCGTATTTTGTGTGTTTTAAATTTGAATTTTATTGTTTTTTTTTTGTTATTTTTTTTTGAAGTTTGTTAATGTGAGTATAGTGTAGGCTTGTAATGTTAATTCATATTTCAGTAACTTTCTGGTGGTTTTGAGTATTCCCACGGCCTACTCAAATATCCGCCTTTGTGTCGAACTTCGAGTTGTTGATCTTTACCAATATCGGTTAAGCAACACGATGGCTGGGGCCTGTATACCGTCTGTATTTTTTTTTTTCAAAAACTTTAATCACACTTTAAGATTTACATTTGTTTACATTTTCTCGATTCGCCAAACTGTTCTAACAGTTTGTAGGCGTTCCGCTCAATTTATAATAACCTAAGTACTTAAATGCTAGTTTATAAATTCCTCCTACAACGGTGTACTAACTCAACAAACAAAATAATTTCAAGACAAACAATACATAAATATGTGTACCCTGACTATTTCCTGGGTACCTGCTTCCCTATTTATGTACGCGTTTTAATCTATTGTCATATCCAAACATTTCTTTTAGTCTTAGTTTTAGTTTAAACTTACATTTTATTTTCTTGTCCTCCCTTAGTATTTGATATTTATTACATAACTTTGGTACTACATACTTCCTGGTCCTTTCCCCATAATAATTATTTACTTTTAACTGCTCTAATTTTCCCTTCTTTATTACTCTGACACTGTAATGATATTTTTTCTTTATCTTATACTCTTCACTATAATATGATTCTAATGCTATTAAATATTTAACTTTTTCATTGACTGGTATGATGGCACATTCGGAAAATAACTTATTATAGTCGTCTTTGTGTTTTTTCCTATTTCTTTTATCTACTATTATTTTTAAAAATCTTAACTGTATCTTTTTAATTTCCTCTATATACGTTTTAAATGTTAGTCCGTAACAGCTTAGCCCATAACTAATAATTGAATCCGCTAGTGCATAGTACACCATAAACAAAGTACGTCTGTCTAATATTCTTTTGAGGATGTAAAACTTACTTAGAACTGACCTTAATCTATTACATACCAATTCTATGTGTGGTCTCCAGCTAAATCTATTATCTATTATCAACCCCAAGTACTTAATGGTGGTAACTAACTCCAATTATGTATGAACAGCCCCACTCAAAACTATGGGAATTTCTTCAAAAATCTACCCAGACCCTATACGGTACTCGCACAGTTTTATTTACCTTTGTTTACGTGCTAAAAAAAAATACACCTCTGTGGTTTGTTTCGGCGTGTCTTCCCATAGTGAGTATTAGGAAATGCCGCCTCCTTCTAGGCGTAAAGTCCGACTTGTAAAAATACCTGAAAAGATTTACTTACAGAAATACATATATATATATATATATATATATCATTTATCAAGGAATACTAACCCTAGTATGTATGTGTATTCAATAGTAGGTATGATTAAGTATTTTTTCACAACCTGCCACGCTTTGATGTGGCACTTTGTGATTATATTGATGAGTAATGAGGAACACAACTGGCGGAAAGAATAAATAAAAAACAATATTTGAAGCAATTTGTATATCATGTCAAAATAAGGGCTTAATCGGTGCGAACTCCTTGAGTTTTCACAAGCCATCCATCTTAACATTTTTATAAATACGGAAGATAAATATACTTACATATGTATACATACATGTTATAGATAAATTACACCCAGACATAGAACAAATGTTTATCATCATGTGGGAATCGAACCCACCACCTCTGACTTAGCAGTCAAGATCAATAACCACTAGACAAGCAGGTCAATCAGTCCTAAATAGATCAATATTATAGATAAATTACATCCAGATACAGAACAAACGATCGTAATCGATCGATCGTTATAAAAATTGTTTATTTAGAGCATTCGAAGTGACGCCAATTATCCTTCAACTTCACCAGTAAAAACTGTTCAAATATTCAACCGAAATCACGGATGCGTATATATTGATTTTCCAATTTTCACTAAAAATCGTTCACTTACCGCATTGTATATTTGTAATAAACTTAAATACATTTTCATGTTTAGGGGGAAGCCTGGAGCCGCAGAAGATAGATGGATCATATCGATCAATGCTGCGGCTCGCCATAAGGAGGGTTGCGAGCTCTGATTATGGGACCTACAAGTGTGTTTCTAAAAATTCCCTGGGTGACACCGAGGGTACCATTAAATTATATCGTGAGTAAATTAATATATTTATAAAAGAAGGATGAATAAGGATGAATAAAAGCTTTGTTGTGTATGTTTAAAAAGGGTGTATGCCTATTTTTACTACATCTAGTCTTCCGGCTTTGATATGTGGATTTAATATATTTAAGAATCCTTTAATTCTCGTCTGATTAATTTCGTTGCGAGTTCCAAGTCCATTAATTTTTTTGTGGGACTTCCCGAGTGTCATAACTCGGTGTGTTTGTGGGTTATTGTTGTTGATTCTGGTGTACAGGATTGACTATGGTGGGCGTGTGGCAATGTTTAGTTACACTAAAAAGAAAGAGGTGTGTATGTTTGGCAATTGAAGAATGAAAAGTCAAGTTTTTAACTTCAAATTTATAAACCCGCAACAAGAGCCAAATGCCGATGAATCGCCGAGTGACGACTAATCAGTGTCGTTATCGCTAAGTGGTGAGCATGTATTTACACACATGTGAGCCGTATCTGAATACCTAGTTATTATCGTGAACATTTGTTTCCTTTGAAGCGGATAAACTTACCGACAATTAGCCGAGCGAGGCGAGCATTAACAATCGTTGCTCGGATAATAACAATTACCCATCCCCATACTTGCTATTAGGCGAATAATCGGCATGTCACTAGGCGGTTCTCACGTGTCTGGTAGAGGCTTAAGAAGAAAGGTTTAGAAATATGTAAATGTATACATTTATAAAAATGATAACTATCAAAGTAGGTTCCAATCAAAATAAGGAAGTAAAGTTCCAATGAATGAAAAAAGTAACTTTAACTTACTTGTAGTAGATGCGAAAAATGATCTGATGTGAAAAACATATCTGGTATTTAATCATCGACAGCCTTTACTAGTCCTCTGCTGGACATAGGCCTCTCCTTAAAAAGGAGGTTTTGGCCTACTATACCACGCTGGCCAGACGGGTTGGTATAGGGTTTGTTTCAAGTTTTCCTTCTCTGATGAATAGGATGAATGAAACTGTATTCTTAATCGGTCACCACACGGATAATGTTTTAATGCCTGTATTAAATTATTATCATAAATAACAATTAATTATAGACTATTTTCTTAACCTAATTTGTTCTCTAAAGGTAATTCTTTATCTGATCATAAGCCATTTAAACTGTAGTAACGAAACCCACACAAAATGTTTTGAATAGAATTTAGAAAGGCTTAAGATCCTTTCACCGGGAAATTATCTTAAATGTTATCGTCGTAACTAACTTATATAATCACGATTAATTGGAATTTCTTTCATACAGCCATGCCGGTCCCAGCGATGGAGAATAGAAATGGTAATTATTAATACATTTTGAATGCTTCCTATGTCCTGAAGTGAAATATTAAATTGTTTTGTTGTTGTTTTGACAGTTGTTCAGCGATTAAATATCATGGCCGATAAGTCATCGGAAAGCACGCCCTTTGGTACACAAGGTACGTATTAAATGCCGATTGTCTGTTAACTTGTACTGTCCGAATAATTATATGAACCAGTATTTATGGTATAAATTATGATGAACATAATGTGGTATTTTTTGTAGAAATATTTTTTACATAAAAATATGATTCTGTTTTTTATTCTTAACGCAGCTTAATTGCATTGTAATGTGGAACGCTAAGTTAAAACTTTTAGTATTTAGTCAAGCTTTATCGATTAATCGAGTTTTAAATTTCATCATGTTGAACTCGGACTATTCTCAAAAAATTCTCATAATTTTTTTTTACACGTTTAAAAAAATTGTACTCAAATTAATTAATCTATAAAAGCTTTTAAAGCTGCTAAACATGTTAGGCATACATTAAAATATCTTAATTAGGGGCGTATATTTTATACAATTAGCCTCGTTCCGTTTGCTTTGTTACGGGTTCTATTTAGTTTATTAAAATCTCTCTAGGAGTACGAAATTAAAATTTCCTTTTTGCATTGAAACTCCCAGCAAACAACAAAAATATTTTGTTCGCTAATTAGTAAAATGTTTTCAGATTTCAGGTTACAAGATTTCAACAGGGCATCCTCGAAATATCATTGCCGCTGTGGTTTTTTGTTTTCATTAGTTATTTTAATCAAGATACCGATATCTTGGGAATGATTTTTATAGGCGAATAAGAAAATAAATAAATTATACATTTCCGAACAGTACAATCGCTTGAACGGGAGTATCGCTTTGAAGTTGTATAAATTCTCTATGTTAGCCTCGAGTTATATTTTGCAAATGAATAATTTAATTTTTATATGACGGTTTAGTAATTTGACTACAAATTTAAGACGAACTTCAAAAGAAATGAAACCTTTTGTAAGTGGTTGATTGTATTCTATGCTTGTAAATGTACCTAATATGTTCGAATACTAATGAATCGAATATCGTTTATATAACAACATTTCACACGTTACATATTCTCTTAGAAATAAATGAATAAAAGCAATTTGGTTAGTTTTATCATAATGAACATATCAGTTACTTTATGTATTCTTTCGGGTAAATTGAAAATTATTTGTAAATTTTGTAATAGAAAACAACAAAACATATCTCTTAGATTTATATATAGGAAAGTTGTATATGTAAGTTATTTTAGAAGAATATACTTGTTAATTATGTCAGAATATTGAAAGTATTAATAAATATAGACTGAGTTTCATGAATAGGCTTGTATATATAAAGTATAAAGCATCGTCTAGATAATGTATAGATATGCTTAAAATAAGTGGGCAATCTGTTGAAGGCAGTCAATTACACGGGCATAATGACGAATAAACATGGGATCAGTTCGTTTATTGCTTTTATATTAGGAAAGTAATTTCCCGATCTCGTGTTACATAAATGTATGAATGAGTCACGTTTATATTACTTAAATCGTACGCATTTCCTCACTAGCCTTCGTCAAGATTGATGTATGGAGGTAAGAAGAGGTGTGTATGTTTATTTGAACCTACTTCTGAAAAGGAATGGTTATAAATAACAGTATTTTTATACTAAAATGTGGCATGTCTTCTTGTGCGCTTACATATCTTCTTGTAAACATTTGTGATAGTCTTAAAAGTAATCTTGTGAGTGGAAGTGGGGAAAAACCAATAAAATCAGAGGTAGGTTAAGAGCGTATTGGCTCTTTCATACACACTTTTTCTTATCAATTCCTATGTACTTTAATGTATGTGCATCGCAGTATAAATATGATGTTTCAGAAAGGTCTATCCTAGTGTCCTAGTGTCAAAATTCAGTTGTATCGCGGACCACTACTGCTTTCTGTAAAAATAAATGATTATTAATTTAATTTAGCTTTTATTTTCAAACCCTGAAGTAAAAACCATCATACGAGTATATACATAAATCCTATTTAAAAAAAAAAACAACTTTCGCACTAGGAATGTATCCTGTGTCGCAGGAGACTTTACAAACATACATGAAACGGACACAAAGAACACCCAGACTCAGAATGAAAAAAAAAACTGGATCACACAAGTGTTGCCCCATGTGTACATCGAACCCACAACAATCAGCGCAGTAGGAAGCTGCGATTTGACGATGAGATGGTTTATATTAGCAAAAATAAAAAAAAATGATTTTTGTAATTGACGAATAAGTATAAAAAAAAACGATGACTTTGAAATTGCAGATTTGTTAAAAAACATGTATACAAAAATACCATAGTATTACATAGCGAAATCTATCAGAAATAGTGCAACTACAACTCCTTGAAGTATATAGGTCGACGTAACCAGTAAACCTGTTTGTTATGCATGTAAACAAACACACATGGTTATTCCTCATTCCCACCAGCTGCCCTATTACATTCGTGCTTCGTGTCTCTATTCCCTACTTCAAATCCCCTCTAATTATATATATTCTCACACCTCAGTCCAGGTAGGCAGATGGGATCGAGGAGTAAAAGCAAATGTCATTTTTCTACTTAATCCTAAGTACACATGACTGTGCCCTTACGTACTCTGCTATCCTCTATTCACACTAAAGGTTCGTTGGAAAAAAAATCTGGGTTGAGCTCGCCTTTGTATTGCTATAATTGAAGCTACATTAATAACTACTGTATGCACATCACACATCACATCACATCAACAGCCTTTACTAGTCCACTGCTGGACATAGGCCTCTCCTTAGGAAGGAGGTTTTGGCCTACTATACCACGCTAGCCAGACGGGTTGGTGTAGGGTTTGTTTCAAGTTTTCCTTATCTCTGCAGTGCTGTTGTCCTGCGTAGTTTGCTTCCTTAGTCGCCTCTTACGACACCCACGGGATGAATAGGCGTGGTGACACTCTGTATTCTTAATCCGTCACCACACGGACGTATGCAATAAAGAATAAATGTAATGAAATTAAACTAGGTCCTCTCAGCAAACATGCATATTAAACATACAGATAGAGAAGCTCAAAATGTTTTTTTTAATAACTGTACCTTGTAAAACTTTGTTCGTAAGTATAAAAACACCATGCCTTTGTTTGAAGACAACATATTACACAAGAAATGTTAAAAGCTGCTTTGTGCAAGCTCGCTATAACATTATTCGTATGAGAAGATCGTAAATTTTCTTGGAAACTTGTGCACCGTAGAATTATTCTACGTCTCTTGCACACTACTTACATCATAATTCTAATATCATGACATTTAATGATTATCTCGTTAAGCTCTCTAAGCTATATGACTTAATATTTTATGATAACTGAACTTACGTGTAATGATGGATTAAGAATACGGAATGTCACTACCCCAATTCATCCCGTGGGTGTCGTAAGAGCCGACCAAGGGTGCTAAACAACGCAGGACACCAGCACTACAAAAAGAAGGAAAACTTGACACAAACCCTATGCCAACCCGTCTGGCCAGCGTGGTATAGTAGGCCAAAACCTCCTTTCTAAGGAGAGGCCTATGTCCAGCAGGGGACTCTTAAAGGCTGTTGATGATAATGAATAATTTATACAAGCAGAGATACAGAATATCAACAAGGACCATTTCTTTTTTTTATTGTATAGGGGGCAGCATACGTAAGATCTGA